CTGTCATTACAATTAGCAATATTAGATATTTACATTCATGCATTTGGAAGTCGATTTTATCAAAAAAGTTTTCTGCAGCGGTGCCATTGAAGGACCATTTTGGGTTCCCCAAAGAAACGTTCAGTAAATGGTTCTTAAAAAAAAAAAAAAAAAGGGTTTTATGTGATGAACTTAATCTAAAGAACCGTTTTTCATCATAAAGAACCTTTTGTGCATAATCTTTATTTTTAGGAGTGCTGGGAATCGAACCCATAACCTTGGTGTTACTAGCACCCTGCTCTATTGTTTGAGGTTTTTTTTTTTTTTTAAGAATTAGGAAAATAAATGAATACATTTAAGGCTACATTTATGACTGCGACTGATTTCGGTCCTATTCATTTAGATCTTCGACCCATACAATGCACGCTATGAGGTCCCCATTCATCTTGACCTGCCTGCCACGCCAGAAACAGACGAAACCAAAAGAGAGTATAGGGTTCAAATCAATAACCAACCATTTGGAATCCAAGTGATCAGAAAGGAATCAAATGAAATGATGTGAGTAACCTGAATTACCCTTGGTAACGGAGTCCAGAAAGGTTCTTCTGGCAATAATGCAGTAGTTAATAGGTAACTACCTAGTAAGTTAATTTATAAGGAAGTAGTATGTATATTATCTGCTGTCACCATTTGTAATCACCTATTACAATACTTTTATATTTATGCATTTTGCATTTACATTCATGCATTTGGCAGGTGCTTTTATCTAAAGCGACTTTGCATTGCATTCAAGGTATATTTTTTTATGAATTCATGTATTTCCTGAACTGAACCCATGATCACTTATATTATATATAAGTGAACTACATTAAATAAAAATTAATATTTAGTTTTTATATGAAATAAAATGCATACATATAAAAGAGTTTTAGAAGGAGATTAGCATGTAAAAATTCCCAAAGGTATTGAAACTATAAATTAATTGAAAAAAAAAGCGACAAAAAAGCAGTATCGTAAAGGAGGGCATGAGATCAGCACAGAAATAACTCTGAATAGCAGAGCTGATGTTGCACTTTTAGGGTTTTCGGAGAGTTTTAGGACTATAAAAGCACAGTTTGCCTTCTTAATGAAAGCAACGTATTTTTCAGAAGACAGAAAACATCTTGAATGTTCTGTTTTGTTAAATCTCATTCTCTCACTCTTTCTTTCACTAGATGGGACTCTGCCGTGCCGGGGTTTACATTCTCTGATCAGTTACTTCAGATCTCCACAATCCTTCCCTCAGACTATGTCTATGGTTTTGGTGAAACAGAACACCCCACCTACAAACATGACCTCAACTACCAAAAATACGGCCTGTTTGCGAAAGACCAGCCTCCAGGGGTGAGTGTCAGAACCAGTTGTGATGTTTTACAAGCCTTCCCACATGCATATCATCTGGACTTTACAGCCGGCCCTAGTGTATAGTTTAGTCACTCAATACAGTAATCAGGAAGGATGGATGGATGGATGGATGGATGGATGGATGGATGGATGGATGGAAGGATGGATGGATGGATGGATGGAAGGATGGATGGATGGATGGAAGGATGGATGGATGGATGGATGACATACAGAAAGACTGACTGATCTGCAGTGACGCTCTTGCACCCTTCCGCTAACCGTCCTGTTATTGGCTGTCAGTCGTCCATACTGGACACGCTAACAACCTTATTCTCTGACTCACTTCATGACACAATGTCCAGAGAAAGAGAAGCAAAGAGAGAGCTTCATCAAGGAAGAGAGAGAGAGAGATGTAATTAGGTTCATTAAAACAGAGATGGGATTTGCAGGGTTCATTCCTTTAAGCCAAATAAAAATCTCTCATTAACACTTAATTGTCTTTTTAACACTGAGAACAACTGAAATCGCATCACAAACTCAAGCTCTAATCTCTTTCTCCCCATCTGCAGTATAAGCTGAACAGTTATGGAGTCCATCCTTTCTACATGGGTCTGGAGAAATCAAAAAGTGCTCATGGCGTCCTCCTGCTAAACAGCAATGCTATGGGTGAGTAAAATCACACACTAAGCTATTTGTGTCTCGGTTGGACCCATCAGACACGGCCTGCACTGGATGGTCTTTCTTGTAGGCTATGACTTTTAGTTAAACACATCCTGAACCAGCCTAAGATGAAGATGAACCAGCCTAGCATAATGATTACCTCATTGGGAAGACAATCCCAGAATGCACTGGAAAGAAAGTTGTATGTGTCCTTCACATTTCTGTTTATGTAAAGGGCACTACAGTATCTCCGGGAACAATGTTTTTATTGTCTCTTTATGAGTCTAAAAGTCGTCAGTCAGACACTTGCTGCATCTTTAGTATTGGAACAAATAAGTCAATCGCTCACTGGCTCCAACACTGGTGTGAGCTTTGTCAGCAGGTCTTAAGGTTGTGATTAGAGCAAACGTTATTTATTAGAGACGAGAGGCTGTCATTGAGCTTTAGTGTGAGGAACACTTATGCTTATTGCAGGAGTTTCTCTTGAGCTGCTTACACATAATGGTGGTGCTGCAGTGGGGCTTTTAACAGAGTTGTGCTCTCAGAAAGTCTTCTGAATTCAACCGCCGTCTCACAAACGCTCACACACACACATTTTAATTCTTCCATAAAAACACATGCGCAGGCAGTCGAGTAAATGAGCATCCTGAGAACCGCAGCAGGAGAATAGCTTTGATGTGGTTCACTTTACCCAGAGAAGTTCAAAGTAGTGGCCTTCATGTGTTTAACACCTCAACGCATACAAAATGACACAGAAATAGGCAGTTAAGGATAAGATCTCTGAAATGATTTGAAGGTTTTATTGCATGTGTTGACATATGTCTTTTGTAAAAGGAAGTTGGGAATGTGTATATTGAAGGACTCTTCCCTTTTTAAAGTAGTCCAGCAAAATCACATTTGCCAGCTTGCACACAGACAAAAGCAATGAAGACACTTTCAAAATAAATAAATCAAAGCTAATGCTTCACAGCTAAATCATAGTTGGAAAATAAATGTGTTATTTAATTTGATGAATAAAAAATATATTATTTATATTATTCATTTTATTTATTTATTGTAATTATTTTCTGTAGTTTTCTAAAACATTTTCACAATAATTTAGGGAGATGGTTCACATTCTTTTGAGCATTTTATTAGACTAAATGTGTATGTGTGCATACTGATGTATTTTTAAGAAATATATAATAAATTATATATTGCTTAAATAAAGGCTATATAATTTTAGGCCAATTAATTGTAAGAAATTAAAAAAAAAAACTGCTACGGTAGAATTTAATAGGGATTATTACTGATAATAAAGGGAATTAGATGGATAGATAGATAGATAGATAGATAGATAGATAGATAGATAGATAGATAGATAGATAGATAAAATATTGAATAAATAAAACTCTATTTATATTATTATTTCTTATTTATTACAATTCTGTAGTTTTCTATTATATTTTCTCTGGAATTTAGATAATTTTATCTTTACATTTACATACTTATGTTAATTTAAAAGTAAAAATCATTATTATAATATTTTACAGTAAATTACTGTTACAATATATATATATATATATATATATATATATATATATATATATAT